AAAACATAAATATTTCTCTGCTGAATGCAATATTAACTTTGCAGACCTATAACTATAACAAGCTATTATCTGTCACTTTGTATGGACAACAAAGTATATTTGAAATTGGCTGTTCTGTCCTTTCTGCACCATTTCACATTTGAAATATAGGCAGTACTGAGACAGTACTTGTCAATACCAGCTGATGACTTCAATCTGAATAATGTTTCTATAAATTGTAATTAAGTTTTATTGTCTCTTTGGCCAGTAAAGTTCTCTTCCAGATTTGACAGCAAAATTTTTTATTTAGTTTTGCTGTCCCCTTGTGCTTTTTTTTCTCTTTCCTTTCTCCTCAGTTTCTGTCACTTGCATTTTGGGTGGTCCTGTTGATCACTCTTGAAAGCATTTGACTTGGGATCTGATGGCAAAGGAATTAAGTGCTTGCTACTTCTATATTCAAGTGGTGTTTTATTTGTGTTCAATACTATATTGTCTCATCATTATGTGTATTTCCAGCAGACATGGTCAGTTTTCCTTTTCTGACTTGGGATTTCCAGCAGACATGGCCAGTTTTCCTTTTCTGACTTGGGGAGGTTAAGGACAACTAAAATGGTCCTACCATTGTCTCAGATGAAATTTGGTCCCTGGTGCAAAATTCAAAATCCCAAATTTATAATTTTTTGCCTATGTAAGTCCTTTTAGTGGAGATGTATCATGATAGCGTTTATTATAATTTTGATGAATAAATTGTAAGCCCTAATAATTCATATTCAATTCAGATATTCATTAATTTTCAGACTTTTCCCTTTTTTGGTGTTGTTCCTGCTGTTCTCAATGAATCTGGAGAAGAACTGGAAGGAGAGGCCGAAGGTTATTTGGTATGAAAAATTGAATGTTTTGATACCTAAAGAAGTGTGTATTGCATTAAATATTAGAAAGTGCACTAAAAATAATTTATAAATGCAAAATCCTTATCTACTAAACATAGTGTGATGGCTTTCCTTATTTATTACCAAGTTGATGAACATTGTGGCTTGGTAATTGCTTTGATAGTTTAATTCTCAAGCGTACTGAAAGCAAGTAAAGTGAGACCATACCTAATAAGCAATGTCATGTTACTTGGTGTTCACACTAGCTCTAGCTTTTCTCCTGCTGGGTGTAAATTGATGTTCGGTGGATTGTCTCAGAATTGTTTGGAGTTAAATTGTTAAATTTATGACTGGTATCAAGCACCTGCCGTCTTTCTCTTCATATTGAAGATTGGTTTATCAACAGTCTTCTGTGCATATTAGCAGCTTCGTGCGGATGTCCTTTTTTATTAGCATGACACACAGTCAGCAGTATAATACAGATCTGCCAGCTGCATATAGCATTCTATAAGTACCTGTAGTACAGTGTTGAACTTGTGTACATGCATTGCTGGTTTGCATTTTTGTAGGAACAATGATATTTATTTTACAAATGTGATGCAACACTTTAAACATCAAAAATGGAAATTTCATGACTGGTGAGACCTCAATTTCAGTTTGTTAGTCAAAGTAGGCTGATTTTAGAAAAATGTTTGTGGGTTATTTAACTTTTGAGTTTTCTATTCGCTTTGCATGTGAATGTGATACTAAAGTAACTTTTACCGAATGGTAGTACTTTTGCATCTGAGTCAGAGGGTTGTAGATTCAGTCCCCGCTCTAGAGACTTGGAAACGATGTAGGCTGAGTTTGAGTATGTGCTGCACGTAAGAAATACATTTTTTAAGTGAAGTGTTCAGCCTCTTGAGTGGCCAAAAGTGATCACACAGCACTATTTAAAGAAGATGGGGAGTTTCCCCATTGTCCTGGTCAACATTTATCTCTTGAATGACATAATTGAAATAAGAGATAACTAAAATAAGTTGCCTAATTATCTGTTCATTTGATTTCTGTTTGTAGCTTGGCCGCAGCATGACATTTGTACCCATGCCTTGTATGTCTCATTGGCCATAAGATGTTTAGGCATTTCCTGCCATGTGTATGGTGCTATGTAAATCATAGTTCTATTTTTCTTCATTCAAGCCATTATATTAAATCTCAAGCTCAATTGTTAATTTACATTCTTAATTAATGTCAACTAGGGCAACAACTAGAGCTGCATTTAGTTCCTGTTCTCTCAGTGAGAAGTGCGGTATTGAGTGACACCTCAGGAGAGACGGTAGAAGTTAGATAGAGGATAGGTATTTTACGACTATTTAAGTATAAGATCATTTCTCCTTCCTCTTGCTGCTAAGTTTGCATTAAATATCTGTAGAAAGAGTTTGACATAACTCCTGACTGAAACAGTATGAAATTGCTTTGCAGATAAACCTAATGCAATTTCAAACTATCTTTAAATATGAAGTAATATCTTGAAATAAACCTGCAAGCATTACAGACATTGCTGCATTCACTGTGCAAGAATATACTATTTAAAAGATAACTGCTGGGAGAAGAGCTCTGTGTAGGGAAAGTATAATGACATACATGCAAAGTTATTTTCCTGATTAGCATTGTGAAATGCAGTTAGATGCAGAGCAGAAACCGCAGAACTGCCAGGAGGAACCGGAACTGCAACTCCAAATGTCAGACTGTTTAAATATACCAATTGTAACCAAGTTCTTATAATTGAAGCTAAGGATTGCCATTGACCTTAATACACATACACCAGGATTTCAAAAAACTGGCCTTTTTTAAAGCAAAAATAATGGATCCAATCAGAAATTGCCATTGATGAACTGAATCTGATCAGTTGATGGTAAAGCTTTGCTTTTTATTATTCATTATTATTTTCATTAAGGGCATCCTTGTCGTCATTTGGTCACCAAGCAAATTTCCTTCATTTTATCTCACTTTTCCTGAGTGATAATCTCGCATTCACTTTATTAGTAAATTAAATGGTGACCACAAGTTCCTAGCATCACTTGAACCGGAAAGAAAGTTCTAGCCATGCAAGGGGCAGCACAATGGCTCAGTGGTTAGAACTGCTGTCTCACAGTGCCCAGGACCTGGATTTGATTCCACCCTCGGTCAACTGTCTGTGTGGAGTTTGCACATTCTCCCCATGTCTGCGTGGATTTCCTCTGGGTGCACCGGTTTCCTCCCACAGTCCGAAGATGTGGAGGTTAGGTGGACTGGCCATGCTAAATTGCCCATCGTGTCCAGGACTCCACACGTCAGGTGGATTAGCCATGGGATATGCAGAGTTACAGAGATTGGTTAGGGAGGTGGGGGGTCTGGTGGGATGCTCTTTGGAGGATCGATGTGGACTTGATGAGTGAATGGTCTGCTTCCACACTGTAGGCATTCTGTGAAGTATTATGTAGAAAATTGTTTATACCCACTATGATGTGTTGCTGATCTTGCCATGGCAGTCAAAGAGAATTGGTAAGCACAGACACCCTGAACTTATAATACGTACCTGCCAATTCGTAGCTGGAGCAACATGAATTAGCAGGATGCACATTATTATTTGGGGAGTATTGAATGTGTTGGATAAAGATCTTAAAAAAGTATAACCTTTAAATAGAAGCAATTTACAGGCAGTCTATGAAAATGGTCAGGTCTCCAAACTTCTTGTGGCAGTATCTGTTGCATTTATACTTCAGTGCATTCCTCTCTCTCTACTTCTCACCTCCAAACACACAGCCTGCTTGAATAACATGATGAGCATGGTTTATTTCAATATTTTAACAAACATGCTTTTCATCATCATAGCATTGATAACAACTGCACAAAATAAGTAATACTTGGTTAAAACTTAAACTTGACAGCATTAAATTGATTTCAGTCACTACAACAGCAGTTGAATCTTGAACAATACAGACTGTCTGTTGTGTAATATGAGTCATAACTCTTAACGTGATTAACTTACTTATATGTGGCTTATATTTCAATGTCGCAATGCATTGATTTAATATTTCTAACTGACAGTGAGCTATATTACTTAGTTTAAACTATGTCTGTTCCTTAAATTTATTTACATACAGGTATTCAAGAAGCCTTGGCCATCCATAATGCGTACAATTTATGGCAACCATCAGCGTTTTGAAACCACCTACTTTAAGAAGTTCCCTGGATATTTTGTCACGGGAGATGGTGAATTGCTTAAACGAGACTTCTAATGGATATGTAAACAGTGATAATATTCACAAGTATTTCATTGTCAGTAAAACACTTTGGCAAGTTGAGAGGTCATGAAGATGCTCTGTGGATGCAAGTTCTTTCTTTCCTTGACCATGAAGCAAATAGTTATGAATGTCTGTACATTTTAAAAATGCACCATTTGTTTCTGAAATCAGATTAGCTAGCAATATTTTGGTACTGTCTACATTCTTCTTATTTTTACTAAATATGCATAAATTTAATTTAAACAAACATTTTGTTTAAAATCATTACATTTGGTTGACAGGTTGCAGGAGAGATAAAGATGGTTATTACTGGATCACTGGAAGGATTGATGACATGCTAAATGTATCTGGTAAGACTTCTAGTTCGTATTATTTCTGTTGGGAACCAAAAAGAAGGCCATCACAAGGTCAGAACCACTCCTCATGAATTTTAAATCTGCACCATAAATCAAACATGAACTAACTCTTCAGCAAGGCGAAGCCGAGTGAGATTATTTGCTCTGATGCCTTCCTCTGTCTTTTTCTGCAAAAAAAATTACTTATACAATTAAACAATGTTATCTTTATTGTTCCTACTTGATGTGAAAGTTGGCTGGTTGGATTAAGATTAGCCTATCTTTTCTGTAATTAGGATGATCTTGTGGAAAGGCCCTACTACATTTTATTACTAAATTAGTTTAATCAAGACTTCTAAGTGGTGGCCCATTGTACTCACTGGAAGGGCAATTCTGGTCCACGTGACTAGGAGATTTCTGAACTTGCATCAGGATAAGGAATTCTTTCAAAGAATTTGCTCCAACCATCATCATGAACTTATAAACAACCTATTCTACACAGTACTACATGTTTCTAATTGTACTGAAATAACTGTTAACCACTGGTTCAGCCTCATTGGAAATACTGTTCAATTTAGGACACCTGTTAATGCTAGAGACAGTGCAGAAAAGATTTATTTCGAAGCATTTTAGGGATGAGGAGCTTCTGTTGCATGGACAAGTTGAAAAAGAAAAGGTTTTTCTTGGAGTTATTTGAGAGGAGATTTGGTAGAGGTGCTTAAAATCATGAGCGTTCTCGACAGAATAAATAGGGAGAAATAAGGGGTGGCACGGTGGTTCAGTGGTTAGCACTGCTGCCTCACAGCGCCAGGGACCTGGGTTCGATTCCACCCTTGGGCGACTGTCTGTGTGGAGTTTGCACATTCTCCCCGTGTCTGTGTGGGTTTCCTCCGGGTGCTCCGGTTTCCTCCCACAGTCCAAAGATGTGCAGGCTAGGTGGATTGGCTATGCCAAATTGCCCATAGTGTTCAGGGATGTGTAGATTAGGGGGATGGGTCTGGGAGGGATGCTCCAAGGGTCGGTGTGGACTTGTTGGGCCGAAGGGCCTGTTTCCACACTGTAGGGATTCTATGAACTGTTTTCATTGGTAACAGGTTTGAGAACTAGATGATATAAGGCATAGGACAAAAGAATCAAAACAACAACAGGAAATAAAACATTCTTAGCAGCAAGTGGTTAGGATCTTCAATGCATTGCCTGATAGCCTGGTGGAAACACATTCTGTTATGATTTTCAAAGGGAAGTGCTTATATATCTTAAGAGCAAGATGTGTAAGGCTACTGGGTAAATGCAAGGGAGTGGGACTGAGTTGTTCCTGCAACTGCCAGCAAGGACATGATAGCAGGAAAGGAGGCCATTCAGCCTATGTATGGACATGTCTGTAGATGTCTTAATGAATATGTGATGTACGTTCTCCTAACTTTTAAAAAAAAAAAAAAATCTCAATTCTCAAAAGGATTTAACTTCTATTCACTGGAAGTTTTGCAACCAACAGTCAAACTGGATTATGCAGGGATCCTGGACGTAATATAGAAGATGGCAACCAGCAGAAAAATAGAGTCTCTAGTGCAGCCTCATAAAAATATTCTATATTTATTTACTTTGCTGTCTAATTGTTGTTAAATTGCAATCCAGTTTTAATATTATCAGAAGCCAAAATACACAGTAGTAGCCCACTGTTAGGTGAGTTTAAAATGGTCTCATTTGCCCTGCATTACACCTACTTTAATCCCCAGCAACAGATTCTGACACGTGCTAATACACACTTTACGTGTAGTTTAATTCATCCCAATTTTTGCCTCATGTTGGGTCATCCAGTTTCTGTAATGGTTTCTTTAGACTCCTAGCTGCAGTCAGTACCTGGGTTCAGTTGTCTTGTGTAATGTGGAGGGCTACACCAGCTTCTTTCCTATCTCAGTCACGACAAGAGGGCCTGAACAGTCTGAATATCTGCAGACAGACTGGTGTGTTTATGGTTGCACTGCAGACAACCCAAGCACTATTGTGCATGCTGGTACATGGGCTATACCTTGACACATTCTCAGTTTATAATTGACTCTGAACCACTTGGTCCTCACCCGTATTGTTTGCACTGAGCTGTTCTCCCAGTGCTCAGCCACCTGGATTTTAAGGGCACAGAAAGCATCACTGCTACTTGTGTGTGATGCAGATAGGTGTAGGGCAGTGCCAGCTAAATTGGCAGGCCCCTAGGAACTGCATGCCCCAGGTAGAGAACACCTACTCTAGGGAGTCTCATTCAGAATGAGGCACACTCCTCCCTATACTTCAGTTTTCCCTACTTACAGATGGTCCATTTAATTTTATTCCTTGACGCCATATCCCTGTTCTGAATTGTTTCCTGAATTGATATTATTCAATTCTATTCTGCTCACCTCACCCTGCTGTTTGTTTTTTTTTAACTTAACAGTGCTTATAGTTTGTTTGCAAACATCAACACGAGCTCATACTTCTGGGACAATGTTTTTGCTGAGTGTTAAAATGTGTACACACAATGATGAACTACTTTATTCATTGTAACACTATCTAAGGGAAGAAAGTATTAATTGTTTACAGGGCATCTTTTGAGCACTGCTGAAGTGGAGTCTGCATTAATAGAACACACAGCTATAGCTGAAGCTGCTGCTGTAAGTCATCCCCATCCAATAAAAGGAGAATGCCTCTACTGCTTTGTCACGCTGAAGGCTGGATATGAATTTACTGAAACACTGGTTGCTGAACTAAAAGATCAAGGTAACTGTTTCTGGAGAGTACTAGAGCAAATTTAAGCTCAACAACTTGTTTAAAAAAATTGATGACAAAATCTCATCATTACTTGTGAAAATGGGCATTGAATATGATTTATTGCCTCGGTGTGATTAGTTACGTGGTTTGAAAAAAAAGTTTTCCTTCATTTCTTACTTCCCAAAGACTTTTCTGTAAAGTGTATGGGCTCCAAATCGAATAGTCTCAAGTAATACAGGCTTGGGGGTTGTAATGTTCAGCTGTCTGCGTCAGGTGCTGGAAGCCATTCTCCAACTGATTCTGACTTAGGAAACACTTGGTGCAATATAGAGCAAGGGAGGCTGTAAGATTTTTCAATGCTGTAGTGGAGGCCTTGGTTGATAAGGTGGATAGAGGTGCTG